CATTAAAAAGTAATAATGTTGCTATTGCCTGGCAAAAATCTGTGGCCTTCAGCTAAATAACCCCTACTCCATGTTGCCAAAAGAGGTGAAGACTCTCTCCGCTATTTAGATGAGGAATCAGAGAAATTGTGCAGCTTCTTTAAATAGTGGAATGAGACTTACAAGAACGGTAGCCAGATCCAGGTTTCCTGAGCTTCTAGTTATGCTCTCAATTCATAGGACATATGCCCCGGAGACAAAATGCTTTTATTTATGAGGCTGAACTCAAGATTAATCAGAAGAAAGTGAACAACCATGGTAGTCTGACTCATGTCAATACAGATATACGTGGCCGGTCACAAAGTTTATCCAGATAAGAATGTGTAAGGGAAATAGGTCACTTTAAGTCTGTATTTTCATGCTCTCCGGATATTGCGTATTACCCAAGCATCTGCCTTTGAAGTCAAAAGCTTACAATTTCATTAGTTTTCCTTTACTACTATTTATATACGTATAGTCTTAACTGATTTTTTGAGGTTTTTTTTTTTTTTTTTTTTTTTTCTTTGTCTTTTTGCCTATTTCACTTGAATCAGTTAACACAGAGACAAATACCAGCTTTACTGTATAGCCCTACAGCCAATCCTGGGCACTAGCAACATATGTCCAATCTTTATACTAGAGAAAATGAATCCTGGCACCATGGATGGAAACAAGACCCAAACAAGTTTAAGTATCTCCAGGGAATCTCCTCAAAAGACAGCATAGTACAGTAAAATATATCAAAAATATTCCTTCTATATTAAAAAATATATGGTGCAACAGAGGAAAGCGCTAGTAAAACCAAAGAAGGTGGGGATTAGTAAGAAAATTAGAAATTGGCAGCTTGTGACAGTGAGTGCAATACGTGCCATTGTACAATGCATCCCTGAGCATTTTGCAGAGCCACGTCACACCAAACCATACTAACAGGAAAATAGTAAGCAGCTTCTCACAGAGAAGCACTGAAAAGCAAAGGCTTTGGAAGAGCGTCCTCCTGCCAACTGAGCAAAGACAGTACTTCCACAGCAGAGAGGCTTACCAGATTAGCATGTCAAAGATCATGGTTTCTAATTTCAAGTTTTTGCAGAGGAAAAAGGAAAAGAATATCTTGTGAATTCTGGTGATCCAGTGGGAGAATACAGAAACAACTTCTGGCAGATGCTATAATCGTGCTGACAGTTCTGCTCTATCTCCTTTAAAACACAAGGTTCTTGTTTTACCAAGAGCATTTGCCCTGAACCAACATTCTGCTGTACGAAGTACAGTGGGAACCTAAGGAGCTAGTTCTGCAGTCGTACAGTGTCCCAGAGCAGGGGCAATTGCATTATTTTGTAGCTATGCTTCTCTTTCTCTCTTCTTGGCAAAATCAATCTACTCACACAGCCATTCATACCGCATAAAGAAGCATCTTGAAGATTGCTAATTGATTATTTCAAAAATACCAAGAGCAGTAAAGATAAGAATAAGCAAGCAAAAAAGTCTGTTTTAAGGAAACATTAGGGAATATTATGAGTGCATTCCTTTAGGATCAAGAGAGATTTCACTGTGAATGCAGACTAAAAGCAATAAAGCATCGGCAGACCGTCCTTCTCTTAGCAGTGACATGTCTGGCTTTTCTTTGAAATTACATGCCTAACAGAACTGAATCCACACCAACTACATGGCCTGCATACCTTTCTGGACTTCTCATGTTGAATGTGAAGGCTTAAAGCCTGCCTCTGTGTGTGGCAATCCACCAAATAGCCTCACTGAGTTTTCTCTAAGTAAGAGAACTTCATCAAAGCACATCTTAAATTACTTACCACAGCATCATCTTTGGCTCAAATGAGAGCCCACATAGGGAAAGAAGCTGCAAGGGATGGGAAGGCGTGGGAACTGAAAGGAGACACATGGTAAGAGAAGTAGTGTCTCAAAAGAACCTATGTCATTTCAGTTTACAAGAGTAGCCTGTTTGGAGCACACTCTAACAAGGAGGGTGGAGAGCTTGCTCAGGGTGCTTTCAGACCAACTGGGTGATCACAGGAATACAACGGAACAACAGCTGACAGTGTGCATACATACAAATCTAGCAGAAAGTTGGAAATGCTTTCAGCACTATTTCAAACTCTGAAGAAACAGCATGCCCAAGCTCCAGTTATTTTCAATTTGATTAGGAGCCTCACTTCCTTAGATTCTTAACAATTCCTTATGAGACTTGCATGGTATTTCCACAGGAGCAGTAAAAGACTCATTTTTAAGTTCCCAGAAGCTTTCTTGCCTGCCAATCCATAATAGACCTCAGTTTCAGTTTTCTCTTTGTCATTTTGGAAATAAAGTTAAACAAACACAAAGAAAACCAAACAATAGCTTACCCACAGACAGTGAGTAGTGCTAAAAAGCATCAAATAGAATTTTGTTACATTCCGTACTTGCTCTTTGCAAATTCAATGCCAGTAGACATTAAGATCTCAGACCCAAGGCCCCACAGTAAATGTCACCAACTCAATCAAAAGCTAGAGAAAAAAAGATCTCTTTTAGAAGAACCATATAAAGAAGAACAAATAAAACTTCCAGTTTCTTAAGTGTTACCTTTGAATTACTGCTGTTCAAACTCATTGAGATGCTGTGCTATATATCAGAGAAAGAAAACATTTCATATATAAATAAAATATATATATATACGTATTTTATAAATATTTTATGTAAAATATATAAATAAATATAAATAAACAATCCCTTATGACAATGAAAAATATCTTCCACGTCTTCGTTATTTCAGCAGATGTTTCAAGACTCCTGTAATTGCTCTGTACTTCTAACACTTCAGCTTATTTCTGGCCTGATATTTTATTTCAGCATTGGATTCTAGAGCAAGGGGACCCCCAGCTGAGTTTTACAGTACCTGTGGAGTAAGCTGCTACTGCCACCTTGGGGAGGATTCTTTTCATGTACTTCAAGGAGACTAAGCAAATGTCATATAAAACAATCTGATTTTTTCCATCATGCCTTGCTTGGAAGATGACTTCTTAAAATCCATTGTCCATGCTGACATATGACAGGATGCATCTGGAATGTCTTGAGTTATACTACACTAAAAATATTAATGGAAAGAAACTGCATTTTTTGGTGGGGAAGAACAGTCAGGTAACTTTTAGCTAACATTTAAACACTGCCTTGCTTACAGTGTTCTTAATTTTATCGCAGTTTTGCCAGTGTAAGAGGCCTAACCTACCTAAAGCTGAACAAACTGTATTTCACATACAAGACTCCATTTCTCCTGCAATTCTAGCTTTCCTGATATTTTGAATCAATCCTTCCTTGTTCATGCTCAGCTTAAACTGTCTCCCTGGCAGGCCACTACGCGGCTGCTTGGATGACGTACACTGCCTTAGCTCTAATGAGAGGCATTACTGCGCACAAGAACAGCCTAACAAATGTGCTGAACTAAATCGTGACAATTTAACCAAATTCGAGACTTCTAGTCAAATCAAGTGAAGCATCCAGATTTTTATTTGGAATATCCATAGTTCTATGAGACCGACCTACTCTTGGTTTTCAAGTGTCACCCTATAAGCACTCTTCTTCAACTCTGCTTTCAGCAGCAGAGAAAGGAACCTCACTATACACTTCATATATAGAGAACCTGTGTAGGACTTGAGTTGTATGCATCTGCATTGTTAACCTTCACACTGGGCTTTTCTCAGTAGGAACTGTAGGAGCAGTAGGTGCCACAGCTATTTATACAAGGAAAGATTTAATATCTCACCTCTCATCAAAATAGGCAAGTTGAAGAACAGGAGGCTGTCTAAAGGCAACTAACTTGTGTACATGCTCTTAAAAATACAGAGCAACTAAATTTCTACACAGTTGTCTAAAGCCAGGCAACACAAAATAACTCAATCATGAAGAATAATGTGAGCTTACCCTAGGAGGCTCTTAAGGCACCATTAGCTTCTACCCTCGGCCAAAACACTAGCTGTGCCTGTCGCACCACAGTGGAACTCAGACTTCTGGAAGAACTGAAGCCTTAACTACACTGCTGCAGGCCGAAGCAGACCTTGTACTGCATTAAACCACGACTTAGGAGCTCCCACATAGAGCTACATTTTGGATAAAAATGTTATCCAAATGAGCTCTGGAAAGTGTCTTCACTTTTCTTCTCACCATAGAAAGCCTACATACCACATTCTCCTTCTTTGATTACCAGATTCTTGGATTAAACACATCTCTCTTTCAACCTAGAATTTATGGTCAGAGAGGAGCTACAGCTGAACTCTTCTCTGCAAGCAGACAAGCACTCTTCTGTTCTGCTACCAGAAACCAGTCATTAAAACACAAATGTAGATTTATTTCCCACTGTGGCATAGAAATAAAAATTAGTTACATTCTTACCTGTGGTAAAAAACCTAAAAAGTAAGTGATAGGTCTTTTCCGGGATATCTTTTTACCTTTACTTTTAGTGCTACTGTAGCATGGCAAAGAATTACGCTATCAAGCAAAACATACCAAGCACAGCATGTGATCAAAAAAAGGATTACACCTATCTAGCCAACAGCAAATGAACACAATTGACACTGGTGCCAGTCTTCTTCAATTTTCTTCTAGATTCACAAATGACTTCTGTGTTTTATTCTATTTTCAGATTATTTTAATCTACCTTTTTAGAGAAATAGTTTTACATCTGTATAAGGTTGATACTGTATTTTGAAAATACTGCAACTATTAATGCATTATAAGAATAAAAGAAAGTGCACACACTCTTCAGATACATATATGTACACATTCAAGAACATGAAACGCAAAATAACCTAATAACTCTATTATCTCTCTCACATTAAACTGCGGGTAGAAATTAAGCAACTTTCAAAAATACCCACTTTATATACAAAACTGTATTTGCATCAGACAGTGCTAAGTACTAACCAAACAACAAACTGAATGAGGATCTATCAGTAATAGATTAACCAGATTAATGTGTACGTAACAGTCTCAGTGTGGTACGCTGCTGCTGTAAGTTTCAAAGTTCATGTACGAACTTCTTGCTCAGCACACACGGTCTATGAATGAAGCTTGAATTAAAAAAAAAGACTTTCAAAAAATATAAGGTAAGCGACAAACTATGAAATTAACCTAAGCATTTAAGAGTAGACTGCATATAGGGAAAAAAAAGAAAAATCCTTGGTTACGACAGTGGGAAGAAAGAGGTGGAAGGAACACACTAATTCATGTCCTCCATCTAATATTATTATGCTACAGAAGATGAATACAATTTACATTTAGATCAATGAATAAACTGATAACAGTAACTTCATAAAGTCTTTTTTAAAGAGAATAAGCAGGTATTCTTAAAATTAAAAGGGAAGTGATAATGGAAAGTTTCGTAAAAAATGCCAAATGCTCCAAGATCATGTAAGAAAGCTGCTTATTCACCAATCGCTTTTTCATCTGAAACACCAGAATGTATTTCATCAATCAATATTCCTCTGAGACAATTACTGTGCACCGAAATCCACTAGATATATATATAGAAAAGAAGAAAATAAGATGCTTATTTGTGAAGTCATTTCCCTTCTCCAACCACTAGCCTATGCTCTTCTTCCCCACTGTGCTACAGAAGTCTATATGATAGCATATATTTCCAATGCCTAGAGTCTAAATTAGGAGACTGAATCTGCAGCATTAACTAGCTTCACCATTGTTGCTGTTTCTTTTTTAATTAAGACATACTTCCTATATTTGCCTGTATCAGAATGCCCTTTTGGATCATTATCATTATCTATTGCAGTTTTAATGGAGGTTGACAAAAGCTAACAGCTTCTAAACTGTTCTCTGCTGCAGAAGCACTCCTTTAAAAGCTATTTCACATCCCAGCCCAGCCCCTCAAAAAAACAGGTAAAGATATGAAGTCATGTAGTAACAACAGCACGCAGTTATCACTATTCTAACTTCATCCTCCCCTAGTTTTTCTCCTTCTTTATCACATTCTTCTGCATTTTCCACAGCTGTTTTTCAGCTCCTTTCCACTCTGTTCTTTTTGCCCATCCTTAGCTTTATCTGCCTCACAACGTTCCTAAATCTCTTCTGAAATCTGACAGCTCTTTCCCAGCTCTTCAGCTTCCATCAGTGCAGAAGCACAGCCTATCAGGCTGCTTTCCGTGTTGTGAGAACTGCCAGGGGGTTTTGCCTCTTCTGAGTGGGAGACTGGAGGACAGCAAAGATCTTGAATCAGAGATATGCATGAGGTGCATTGAATGTCTAGAGCATACAGTCCTTAAAGATTTCAGGCAAGGACAGGCACTCAAGAGACTGAATTCTTACATTGTTGCTGGATTGTTTAAGTCTAAAACAGCGCATGTTATTCCATCTTCATTTAATGGCAGGCTTGCGGATAAAAACCAAAGACAATGGCAGACAGCAATGAGATGACAATCAACCTTGTCGTCCTTGGAAGAACTCAAACTGGCAAAAGTGCTGCTGGGAACAGCCTGCTAGGCAGCTTGGACTTCGAAAGTCATCTCTCCCCATGCTCAGTGACCACCTGTTGCAGTCTTGGGCACAGCTGCCGTATTTTGGGGATTACACGAAGAAATGGCTGTGAGCTAGCTCTCCGCGTTCGGGTACTTGACACTCCAAGCTACCCTCACAGCAGCCTGAGCAAAGAGCAGGTGAAACACACAGTAAGATCCGGCCTGGCTCACCACTTCAGGGAGGAAGGTCTGCATCTTGCTCTTTTAGTCCTGAGGGCTGACTTGCCTCTGTGTCCAGATGAAAATGATCAAACAACTCAGTTCATCCAGGTAAGAAATAAATAGAAGTTTCTACTGTAATGGCAACTCCTTTTGTCTCTGGTTGAAAGTAACTATGGAGGCACCGACTGCAGATATGAATTAGAGAAGTGCAGCTAAAAACTGGAACACCCTCCAGTCCACCAACTGAAATACATAATTACATTCATAGATCTAACACTGTACACCATCATCACACATACCATGTTGAACAGAGAAAAGAAAAGCAAGAACTGCTATGCTGTCGTTGGATTCAACACTAGAGACTTCCGGAATCAAATTCACCTAGCAAAGCAAGCTTCTCTCACAGAAATTAGTCAAAGGTTTACTATGACACTTCTAGGTTGTTGGAGAGATGTGCTATTTGAAGTAAAAATTTGGTTGCTTCACTCTCCTGTGGTCTACATAGGACAGAGCACAGCCCAAAGCAGAGAATAATAGGTCCAAAAATCATACAGAAAATCACTATAACTAATGCTGTTATCTATTCAAGGGGGAAAAAAAAATAATAGAAAGTTAATAGATTTATTCTGGCAAAGGAAATCTTCTAGCAATACTCACTTGAAGCAAATATTTTGAATCTACGTGGAAGAGAATTTTTGGAATTAGGTAAGATTTATGGGAGGAGGTGACACTGAAAATGAACGTCTTTGCCTTCAGTGGAATCTGTATATATTTTTTCTCATTGTTACCCTTCCTTATGCATTTCTACTTTTCCATTTCTCTTAACTTCGTATTATTTAAGAGGAATCACCACTTTCATCTAGAATTTTTACTTTAAGCCAATGAAAAAATCATCTTGAGATTGTTTTGGATAAATGCCACATGGCTGTTAAAAGCCTAGGAGATGCCCCTGTACCCTCCTCCTTTAATGGAGCTTTAAAAATCCCAACTGAGACTAAATAAAACACATTAAAACCAAAACAGTAAGAAAACACTTCCTTGTTTCTTAATTATAACTTGTTTAAGGTACTATCTTTTTAAAAGGCTGTCATGCTATGATTTCATCAGCCAGAAACAATGGGGAAGGACAGTTGTCTGAGCGCTGGGATTATGAACAATAGTGGTTGTGTTTCACTATGCCATTCCAAGAAGAAACTACCATGAGACTATGCTTTTAGCAATAAGGAGATCTCACAATAATCCTCTACATATTAGGGATGGTCTATCAGTAATGCATACAGAAGACTACTGGCATTTAAGTCTGCATTTTTTAACCCAACAGTCTAATGTATTAGGAGAGTGGCAGATACTGATCTCATAACTAATAATAGCACTGGCTTATCTGAGCCCTCAGATAATTAAAGGCACCACTCTTTCTCTAAAACTAGCCTCTTAACTCTTCCACAGACAGCCTACACCAATATTAAGTTTATTTTGCAGTTTATTTTTTTCTCATCCCTAACATCTAAGACAGATGAATCACTATCAATATAACATAATCATTTGTCTAACTCCTTGCTTATTTTGAGAATACAAAGATATCCTTTAAAACTGTTTTATGCATTTAAACTTTTAGTTTACAGAGTTTTTGAAATAACTATAAGGTGAACTTGAATAATAAAGTAGTTTTCCTTTCACACAGACAGGTGTTTGCATGACTGCACTGAAGTTGCTAATTCTTTTACAATTGTAACTTAAAGCCTGATCTCTTATTCCTATTAATTTCTTTCATACTGACAAAGAGCTTATTTTTATATTTTTTTATATTTATATTTTTATTTACATTTTATATTTATATTTTTTATATTTTTTATTGCCAGCTTATTTTCCCTGTTCCCTTCCATGAAATGAACAACTGTAGTCAAAGAAATTCTGTCATTATTCCTGTGCTGCCACAGACAGTTCAGTTTAAGAAGATACAGCTGTTACCAAAAACAGTGTTGCATAAAATTGCTGATTTATTCACTGCAAGGTGATTTAGAAATCTTTTTTCAAAGAGCTTAAAGATAGTGTACAAGTATTTATATGTAGAAAATAATTAAAGCTACTTGAATTTTACATATTATTTCTGATGATGCTCGATGTAGCTAAACAACAACTGCTGTAATTTACATGTGGAACTTTTAACTGAAGAAACTCTAACACCTGCAGAACAGTCAGCTGTTACCAGTGCACAGCCACCTATTTCCACTAGAAGGCAATACCAAGGTATTTAAAGGTCAAAATCCCCCGAAATTCCAGCAACTCAGATTGTGTAAGTTGATCAGTTAATACATAATTATGTGGTGGGACTAGAAAAAATGAATAAGAATTTGAGATTTGTTTTTCATTACAGGAACTTCTAGGTCCCACATGGAAGGATTTCACTGCAGTTTTACTTACTCACGCTGACAAGGCAGCAGCAGCTGGATTCAGTGAGGAAGCGTATTTGCACAAAGCTTCAAGTACCCTGTTGTCACTACTGAGCTCAGTACAGAATAAATATATTTTCCTAGACAACCAGAAGAGCTTAATTAAAGAGGAAAGAACTACTGTCTTAAGAAAGCTCTTAAATTTTATAAGACAAAATAATTCTCGAGTACTACTTAAACACGACAAGGAATAGAATTAGCTTTCAGGTGCTCATTTGTCTATTTTTTACGCTATATAGCATCTAATAGAAATAGTAGATAAGACAGCAACTTGAATCTTCAAGACCCCTACCAAACACCTCTGAACATACATCTGGAAATCTCTTTTCAGGTTACCAAACTGCATGCCCTTCATAGAGTACCTCACACTACTGAATCCAGAACCCTAGTTTCAACCACATGAGAACAAGCTAGTACTCAAAATCACGCCCCCTAATACGAGTGCAGTCAGTAATAAGATTTTATGCTACACCTTATTATAAATTGCATTTCATACACAACACAGATCTGGAAGAAGAAAAAAAAATAAAGACACACTAAAAAAAGCTTTCCAGTATTAAAACTTAAGATTTACCTACTGTAAAGGTATATATATATATATATATATA